TATAATAATATTTTCACAATGACATTTAAAACCATAGACCACCCACGGTGATCCACCCGTGATGATCTGAATAATTAACGCCGGTTAATCGTCTCGGGGCGTCGTCGTAATCTCAATGTTTTTAAACGCTTAATATACCATTATTATTATTATTTCTTTAAATTCTTCTCCCGTACAACAATAATGCATAACATCTGTGGTGTATTATCCGCTAATTATTAATTTCTGGGCTTTGTGCCGTTGCTGATGTCAGAATTATCTAGTCCGGCGGCGACCGAATCCTGCGCGCTTTGGAATGCCACGATTGTTATTTATTTTATTATAACTATATATTTTTTCCCATTACAACTTGTGTATAACTTCTTTTTTTGTGTTTGCTACCAGTGTTTTTTACCGTCACAATAGATACATAATATTATATGAAATATTTTTCTCCGGCCCGACCGACGGCGGCCACCGCGGTTTTAACTTTTTTATTATACATACATACATATATATATAGGTACAATATTTTTTATTATTTGCAGGTACACCAGTCTGTCAGGTCCACGATAAAACACAATCGAATGCGAATTCCGATTCGTTCCTACATATATATATATATATACAATATATACCTATGTACGCGATAACAATATAAACTACATTTACAATATTATATATATATAGGCGTCTAGAAATAAATAATAATATAATATAGCGATTATCAAAAGATGTAACGCGGGTTTTGTGAAAATTGAATGAAAAAAAAACGTGGGGAAATGTGTGTTTGGGCGATACCTTTAGTATTATAGTAGCAGCTCGAACGGTTTTTGAAATTTATTAACTAGCTTTCATGGATTTTATGTAACCGTTTGCAAAATTCACAGGTATACTCATTACTCACATACCCAGTTTCTTTTTCAGTTTCAGACCCCTATCTATTATTTCTAAGATTTTTTTTTATTAAGTTAAAATTTTTCATTAAAAAAGATCTAACTTGAAAATTAGGCAATCAAATTATTTTCAATTTGAAAAAAAAATTCTTAAAGCTAAAATATGACACTCGGAAATCCATCTTTTGATATTTCGTGATCAATTTTTTTTTTAGCGAGTTATTAAGTTATCAGTTTCAATTTGCTGTAAATTTGATAAAAACTACTTGTATTGTGAAATAACCAAAGAGTGATTTCCAGGTGCCATATTTTAGCTTTAGAAATCCTTTTCAAATTGTATACATTTTGATTAGTTTTCAATTATTAAATGAAAAATTTTAATTTCCCATGTTAATAAAATAATTAAAAAAATCCCTGTCAAGTTAACACAGTGTTAAGCTAAGGATCTGTAATTTTGGAGATTTCTTATTTGAATAGGTTACTATCGATTGGGAGGAGGGGGAGAGAGAGGGTTTAGTAAAAAATACTTTTTTTTAAGACACTGTTTCATACATTTGTTAATATATTATATAGACAATATCCCAATCGTTATCATCCCAGCTGTAGTCGAAAAACTTATTGTGAAAAATCCAGAATTATTGGCCGTTATAATATCCTTCTAATTACATGGGAACTGTCTTCTTCTTCATTTCTTTAGCAGAAATCGTAATAGACCTTTCTCTGAATTTAAATGTAGTTCTAGTTAGGCCACTGCGATTTTTTCCGTCCGACTTTGAGGTTACTTTACGGTGATATATAAAAAATATAAATATATATATATATTTTTTTTTGTGTTTATTAGCACATAAACAGATCATACATGTGAACGTTTAATGTCATAGTTTATTAGTTTAAAAACAACAATTACTACCGTCTGAATCGCGCACGCGAAACGCCCATGCTTGCTTTTGGCATTGATGTATTTATTATTGCGGTTGTTTGCAACAAAAGCATAACAGCATGGCCGCCATCAGAGTTAACCGCGGTTCAAGAGACATATATATATAATAATAATACCATGTGTATACATGTACATAAATATACATAATATACACTGTACTGACTTTGAAAGGCCTGCCGGATAAATCCGAAACGACGCAGTTGGCAAACGGCTAAAATTTGTATTCTTTTGCAATATAGTAGCTGTACACCTGTCGCTGGCATAATAATACATATTATTATCATTATTATAATTTTTACAACGATTGACATTCAAACGATACAGACAAACCGCAGCAGTTATCGTATTATTATACATATGGTACATTTATACGATAATTATTATTGTGTTGTTTATCCCATACCGCCCGCGTAATTAATTATCTAACGAGGCGGTTGACTTCACTATAAATATACCACCGAGTTGTAATAATTATATTGTATTGTTAATAGAAAAATTAAAAGACCACCCACCTCCGGTAATGACAATTGATGAATTATATTTGAAACATTTTATACAATAAATGTTATACAGGATGAATATTTTAACGGCCTACACCAGTTTACTCTTAAAATAATTGCAATTTTGCAGTGTTTCTTTTTGGATTTTTAATAAATTGAGTATTGTCTAATAATGTACTGTAATAACATAAATAAAAATGTTTTCAAAAAGAAACACTACAAAATGTCAATTATACTTTAAGAGTAAACTAGTGTTGGCTATTAAATAATCACCCGGTATATTTGAAATCGATTTCAATCAAATTGTTCTATCCAATAACAATAACAAGTTTTCTTCAAACGAACCCAATTTTCGTTCACATAAATGAACCGTACCGAAGACTTACAAATTGTTTTATTTCAACGCCTAAATTAATCATTATGATTTTTTTTTGTAAATTGCCGTTTAACCGTTATAACTTATAATATATCTTATGTGTAAAACAAAGAATTCAATTGTTTTTTTGAAAGAAATTGAAGAAGCGACCCTCTCAGCTTCGCACCGGAGCTAAAATATGTAATTCCATGTTTTTATGTCTAAAAATCCCTGAGCGTTTAATCGAACGTCAGTCACTGAAGCTGGTTTGCTTTGAACGCCAACAACTTTATAAAAAAACAAAAGTTTTATGAAACAAATTATTGTACGATTTTACAGCTATCACGGTGAATAACATCATAAAAATTAAATAAATAAATACTGTGAAATATAAAATAAAATGTATAAGCACTCGTCTTAACATTGTGAGCAAATCAATTGCCAAAGCAAACCGAGAAGTGTTCATAAACAATATTGTAACCCACCAACGACCTAAGTAACTGATTGTCAGACTAACGTTTTTAGATATTTGAGAAGATATTTGTATCTACAGGAGCGAACGAGCAAAAAATTCAAGATTTTTTTGTATAAAAAAAAATTATGCAAACCAGATACCTATAGAAATTATTAAATACTCTACAGATAATAATAAACACGGACAGGTTGTTAATTCATCATCATTTTTTTGTTTTACACAAAACATGACCTATTATTAATATTATGGAACACGTTGTTTATAGGACTTCTCATTATAAATACTTCACGTTTATAAAGTCGATTTTATTTACGGTGAAAAGATACAATAAAGTGTAACAGCAAAAAAAAAAATACATTAAAAAAATTGCGCGCTATTGCGTTATAATTGGAGGCGGCGGCGGCGATTGATCACAAGCGGTTTATTGTTGTGTGTGGGTTAACTCGCTGGGTTTCAATATAATATCTGTGTAATAATGACCGCATAATAATAATAATGGCGACGAAACAATCGATATTGTGATAATAATACTAGTAATAACGTACGCGATGACAGTGAAAGTGAATCTTGAGAAACAGCAACATTTCCTTCAAGAAGTTTCCATGTGATTTTCCGGCACGTGTTATGCAACTAGCGGCGGTGTTTTTGTGTTTTGCCGTCGACACATAGGAAAACCGCTTCCTGATAAAATTACAAATTATTCGCCAATTATGCACACCCGTGCCGCCACGGTTCGGTTCCATTGATGTTAAAGTAGCATAATATTATTAATAAACAAGGCGGCCAAACGACAGGTGTAATAAGATCTTATAATAGATGCACGCGTTAGCGACTAGCGTTCCAAGCGGACATTTTCAACTGTACATAAATTGTGATTAGAACCACGATCTACATAAATAATAACGCATTAAGATGGGGGTTATCTTGGATTACGGATAGGGGCGGTAGTAGTTAAACGAAACAGATGACATTGGCAGTCATAGTAGTATTATCTTAAATTGTGGTGAGAATTAGTCAGTCACTCGCGAAGCTAGATTGTTTTTCCGCAAACGACCGAAGCTTTAATTGTTTCCCAATTTAACTCCTATTACAATACAATACCAACGTGGCTTTTTAATTAGCAGACAGTTGAAAAGTTCACCCATTTAAGTGGCTATTAGTCGACCGAAGGACAATGACTGGAACCGCCTGTCTTGGAGAGCGCGCGGCCGAGATCACAAGTTCTATTTAGATAATAATATATGACTTGTCACTTTCGGAATGGACAATTAACCCCCCGGACGGTTTTGTTCGCACACACGTTACACACGGTTATCATCCGAGATCTGCCAAGACACTGTATTGTCGAGTGCGCCTATAGGTGGTTCCCGGATGGACGGTGACGGCCTTGTCCAAAGATGAGCAATGATAAGGCGATAATAACAAAAAAAATATCGCATATATTAATTCATCAGTCTTGTGTCGTTTATATCGGATCGCGCGACGCTCGAGCATGACAATAATAGAAAATTAATATTATTATTAATATGTGTCTAAGATAAGTACTAAACAGCGTCGAAGCCTCGAATCCGAGGCCCGGGAGAAAGCCGATAAGACGGTGTAAACAATTTTCCGGCGTTATCAAGTCGTGTAAGAAAATTTGCCAACGACTGTTTTTACAAAGAATATTTTCGGTAAACAGCTGAATAACACACAACATTATGATATCCTACAACGTACGTATATAATATGAATGAGTATAGCTTAAAATAATAATACACATGAAACGAAGGTAAATGAAAATTTGAAAAATTTAACACCTAATTGCTGGCTCTACTACTATGCCTAACGTAGAGCGAATCGGTTATGGAATCATTTAAGGACCGTCGTTGGCAGAATCGCATTCGTTGACCGGCGTGGGTTTGTCGAGAACCGGAGACAGCATCATGTTCGGCCCGAAGCAGCCCACGTTTCCCATCAGGAAGTCTTGGATGTTGCTCTCCAACGCCCAAAGGATGCCGGCGTTGTCCACGTCCACGTGCGTGATGGTCCGGCAGTCTTTGCTCTTGCGCACCAACATGAAATTCTCCTCAAGAAAACTCGTCTTAGCGTCCCAGCCGTACAGGTGGTTCTGGCCTTTGATCCGGAAATACAGCACCGTCTCGTAGCCTACGCCCACAAACACCATTCTGCACGGTTTTCTCCCTGAAAATTCGGACGGTCGGGTCAAGACCAGCTGTCGACGAGAGGAAGTAAACATGAAAGCTGGTCAGCTTACCTATGTTCACCAAGCACTTGGGGTTGATCCGTTTCCGCAAGTCTTTGGTCCGCACGCGAAACACGTCCGGACTGGACAGATACGTGAAGTAAATGTAATTGCCGGTGCACTGTTCGATCAGTGCAATGTAAAACACGTCCATTTCCCGCGATTCCCTGCACCCAAGCACCGTCGAGTATGGCATCTTGACGCGGAACCCTTCGCCGTTGCGCACGTACCATACGATTATGGATCGCGTGCCTCCGTCGCCGACGTACACGGCCACGGTGTCTTTCCGGTACTCGACCACCATGAACTGCAGTCGGCTTTTCAAACGGCAAGTCAGATTGTGCAACGGAATCAAGTGCTTCGCCTATACGCTCGGCACGAAACGACATTAATTTCTCCGCACAAGAAAAGACAAAGAAACATGAATATGTCTTCCCCCTCTCCCTGTCCTTTCACATGGTCCTCTCATGTCCTTCATTCCTCCCCTCTCTGATCATCCGACGTCTTCCTTTTCCTCCTAACCTAGCCTTCTCTATTTAAAATAACATTTAATAAATGAACAAAGTAGCCAGGAATCACAGAAAATTAAAAAAAAAAGGAAATATCTGCGTTCTGGCATCACTGCCTATTTCTCAATATGCCTGATCGTTTTGTGATAAACTTTAAGATCCTCTTCTGTTTGTTCTGTACCTTTATCACTATTCTCTCACCAGAAGCTGTTATTAGATGTCTCTTATTACCGATTACTTATCGTCCGTCTCTTAATGGGATTTCGAAGCAATTATCAGCTGACGTGACGCTAATTGTGGAAAGGTGAACCACCAGCCCGAGTACATATCCATGTTAAAAGGCACAAAACGCACACGTTTCAAAAAATACGCAGCCGAGGGACTTACCTTGCCGGTGGCGACGTCGAATCCAACGACTTTTGCTTCGTTCTCTCGTGTAGGACGATCAGACAGCGTTTCCGAAATGCCAACGTCGAGCACCCACAAAATGCCGTCTTGCCCCATCACCAGATCGACCACGTTATGCAGAGTCCCACTGTCACTCGACGCTCCTTCTTTGGTCGGTTCTAGGTCGTTCGTGAACGGAAAAGGTCTCACATAGTTGTAACACCTGTCTATGTTGGTCATCATAGCGTATCCTAGCGTAAAAGGTACTCCGCGCCTGCAAATGTAAATATCATAATAAAATAGCTCTTTAGCTCCACATCGAAGCTAAACGACGACGATGATGTTTGACGTAAAAATTATGCCAATTTTCTTAATGGCCAATTTTTTTATCATGCTCATAAAGAACAAATCAAAAATAGAGGACTCAATAGTTATAAGGCCACAAGCGAATACCGCGTGACATATACTTCAAGACTATTTTACTCGTTAACAGAAACTGGGACATTCGAACAAAACATAGTAACAGTATCACAACTCACACTCAGTCTCATTTGAGTGCCGTGTTGTGGGAAAAGTGTTCAATGACAGAGGCTCTCTCATCAAAAACCTTTTATAAAAAACGAATTAGTACTTTACAAAGCTTTCGTTCTCGACCGTTTGGAGATAATTTATTATTATGTAAATCGGTGTTATTTTCATTGTTAACATCATTGTCGTCGTGATTATTCAGATATGACAATGGACAACGTTACTTGAGACGGGGAGACGCCAAAAACACCCTGTCGGAGCACAATTGGAACCTGTTGTAGATAATATTTCTGGGTATGTATCGTTTTTCGCAGATAAATTTTTCTTGTTTTTTCGACGACGACCACTTGATGTAATGGCCGTTGAACAGGAGCGGCAACCGTGTGGCGGCGCTTCGGTTTTGTGCTCTGGGCGATCGAAACAAACAGAATAGTACTATTAGGAACGGCCAGCACAATCTCATCGCGTTTGAAAAATCCTTTGGGACGTCCGACAAAAAATGCATCATGCCGACACTGAATCCAAACAAAACCGTTTCCGTAACGTTGACAACCGTCACAGGAATAAATAGTCTATTATCAGCTACAATTGTCATTGAAACACACAGATCGTCCAAATATTTTGATGGCTACACTGATTCGATGGTTTCAGATAAACGTTACATTTAAAACTTTTCATCTCTAATAATTACCCCAAAGTCGTTTGAACTTCAGTTGACTACCAAAGACATTTTGCTGTGTTGTGCGTCGGTACTTGTTACATATATATTCTGATTCGATGTAGGTTGACTGCGACAGAGGAATGCTTATCTGTGAATGTTAATGTGGTTTCTATCCGCGGTAAAAAAGACACAGCGAATTGGTGGTTGACATGGTATTCGATCTATTCTTCATTAGTTATTTTATTGCCCAATGTGTATTTTTTCTTTTTTTATTGCCGGGGAAAGTCACGGATAGCATAAGGTATAACGAAATATATACATGTTAGCCGCGTTGTTCTTGTGTCAGTACTCAGTACGGTTATTGACCAACAGCGTAGCGGTAAGTACTCGCCGGAGGGTTGCTATGTTGGCAACAGTATATAAACAAACAAACAGATGCAATCGGGTGGAGGCACGAGTACTACTTAGATGTGAGTGTAACGTTCGTGAAACTCGACGTCGAGTGCAACAGTTGTATAAGTAATTTACTATTTCTTATTTTTTGATGACTGTGTCGCCTATGAAAGGCATTTCCTCGGAAAATGAGGTCGAGGGGTCCCGGCCGTTGGGATCCGAGCGGTTCCGGTGACTTGAAAACAGGTTTTCCGCAGCTGTCACCGTGTGTTTGTCCTATGGGAGTTAGTGAGAGACAGGACGTTGGGTTCTCACGGCTAAACTAACTCGACGACAAAGTCACCACCACATGCACATTCGGCCCGGGGGCCATGTAATTTAACGAGACAAGTTTTTTATAATACCTTTGGACACACCGCAGTATTTCAGCTAAGCAGATAAGACACTATGAGGGTGAGATGTTGTTAACAATATTAATAATACCGCCACCGGTCTCAGTACCACCGTCTCTTAGAAAGTATCACTTGAATAGTCCTTTGTGGGATAGCCGCTACAATAAATGTGTTTGAAACACTAATATGTATGTATCGAATAATTGGTGCAATTGTCAGTTTTTACGACTAAATTTGTCAATATAAGTATCTTCCTAAATGCACGTAATAATGAAATAATAGTTTATACTTGATTAGTATGATGTGTCAGACCGTCGAGGGTATTAACACCGCAGCTGAAAACGATTACCGTCATTCGATTTCAAATATCGTTAAGTTAATACCAGCAATAACAATTAGAATTATCATACAAATCGTTCACCGGGTTAATGTCTTCTGTCGTTTAAGCGCTGTCTATTAGGTATCGTAAACTTGGATTAGCTTTTTTTAGTTACCATATTATTACACTAATTGATATAATTATTGTTGTTTAACGTTTCGTTTGGGGTTCAACGGGCCGTCGATTTGGCTGTCATTACCGACTTAAATTGCAGGCCTATATCCTATCCTGTATACCGTAGGATATTAAGAAACCAATTATTGTAATCATATTATTATCATGTTAACCGCACATGCACTCCGGCCGCGAACAATGTCGTTAATTTAATTAGCCCGCCACCGCCGTCCATGGGCTATTCATTTTTTTTTTATATTAATAATAATATAAGTTTGTGTGTCTCTGGCGAGGTCTTACTACGATAACATTATTATTATGTACTGAATACGCTTATTATTTTTTATTTTACTCCACTCGAAGGACTCATCTTATGTGTGTGTGTGTGTTTTTTAGCGGGCACGCAAAATAGAAAACTCAAACCAGGTCAAGTAGTCGTGGGCTGCCATCGAAAATAATAATAATAATAATAACTTTTGGATGTTTCAAACTGTAACATTATGTGTTGTATACACTCTCTAGGTCGTCGTCGTCGTCGTACAGTACACCACCTTTAGCCATATCATAACATTAAAAATATATATGTATAGGCTTGATTATTGTTATTAATCTATAACGGATTTAAAAAAAAATACATACTCAATATAAAATAGGCATATATTTATTGCGCTTCTCGCGTAATTTAGTCGAAAACTCTTTCACATTACTGTACTGTACTTATACTATTAAAATGATTAGCCTCGTGTCAGTCTCGGCCTATACAGGCGATTCAAACATTTTGCAATGTTATAATAACTGAAACCGTTACGTCGCGCATATACGTCGTACACCGCACAACTGCTGCAATCTTAAACGATATGCTTGATAAAAAAAAATGTAAAAAAATGAATACTGTATACTTGGAAAAGATAGTATACGATATTAACGCCGCATTGCAGGAATTAAAAATTAAAACGCCACTATAATAATATAAATCACTATATTCGGGTATTTAATTTCCATATGTTAAGTCAGGTACTCTTATCTAGGGTGGAATTCGTCGCTATTGTGTAAAGTATACGGACTATAGGCTATCGAAAAACCATTAAATAGTAAATACCGACCGTTAGCCGGATATAGTAAACCGTGTCTTGACTCGTCCCCGGAAAATTGGCTCAGTAGAAAATTATACTGTCAATGTTAGCAATTATGGACTATTTAAGGAGGTAATAGCCAGTATATATTATACTGCGAATTTACTTAGTAAATCGACCAAGGGAGCACTTCGATATCAGTATGATATACTATAATTTATATCAATATTATCATTGAACAAATATTACTCATTATATTTAAGAAAAATATATTTATCCAACTAGTAATTGTCTTTTGTTTTGGCCGGCGGACCGCAAAAGTCATACATATTATACTAATACGTATATATATATATGAGTCATCGTGGATCCGACACGGTCGGCTGTGTGTGTGTGTACTTAAGGGGGTTGCTCTAACAGGTGTGATTCACCGGCCGCGATCGTCGACTCGGGAAACTAGTTTTTTTTATTTTACCTAACCACCTGCAATTACTACAGTCGAACGCGTGATGAATCATCATCGGGTTACATCCTATTTAAACGGTACGGTACATTATTTTAACCGGGTGTATGTATATATGCTATGATGGTAATATGGTGCCGGCTAAGATAGCGGGTATTAAAACGTCTTGGTGGGTAATTAATTAGTAAAAGTGGAATCCACGATGACTCCGGGAGGAGACTGCTTTCGAGCTACATGACCGAACAGTTTCGACGTTAACATCTCTATAGTAGGTATTGTACATAGTATGCATGTATATGTATATTAGGTGTTAGACGTCCTTAAAGCGTCAGCCGCCAACGCGTCGTATCCTTCTTCTTTGCTATAATACGGTCTGTTCTCCGACGGCTTGACAGGAACATCCTGGTGATCAAACGGCCACCTCTCTATGTAAGTATAAGTTATCTTCGAAATTCTTTGGAACGGTGATTTACCATCAGGAATTCCACATGCCGGACGCGCGACCGTCTTCAGGGATACTGGAATGTCAGTCTTCTTTATATTATATGTATATTCGTATACGTTATGATTTATCATTCATAAACTTAGTATGCCTAACCTAATTCAACGACACTCGTAAATGTGTTGTAAATCAATGTGTACCGCACAGTAATATAGGCTTTGGTATATAGGTAAATCGAGAATGATATTTGTGTTTAGTTGTCGTTGAATTTATTGTTGTGTTATAAAAAGATAGTAGGCTTATAGTGAAATGTTTCCGATGTTAACCTAACGAGTGGATCAAAGCGGTAATCGCTTGGTAAGAAAGTACAAGGATTCTTGTTACAAAAGCCCCGTCCCCCCTTCGAAATAACAATAAAAAAAGAGTAAAATTTGTTGTAAAACATAATGTTATGTTGGATATCGGTCGTGCGCAATTACAGTTAATATCAGGACCTCGTCTTGCTGTGTATATTGTACTTTTAAGTGTAAAAATAATTATCAAATAAAATTAAGATGGCCTAGAGAATCCTAATAATACGTGTAATTAAATACAAGCCAAATGTAGATCCCGGGAAATTATTACTGTCAAATTTTGGATCCTATATAATATATTATTCCCGGTTAGGCGAGGTTGTGAATTGAGTGAATCCAATTTTCGCCCTTTAATCTGCGATGGATGTTATTTTTTTTTGTCTATCAAAGTGCATACATATTTTTTAACCGATAACTTATTGGTTTTTTTTGCCGATTTTGC